AAAGCGACATCGCAGACGACACGATTTGACACTACATTTAAATCCGCCATTGCCCAATATTTATTCCGACTGCAGTCGTAGTATTATCAAACGGAAATAATACACATATGTTATCAACAATAATTATACAGAAATCAATAATAAAATTATTCTCACTAATTCATAAAACTATTACTGATCTAATAATTATTAGAACTATTTTCCACTGCTTCCTGGAACAAGTTATCCAGCATACTTTAACCGCAATGTAAAATACGAAGTTTATATCAGATTTTTAATTTCGCCTTTTCTCATGACTTCGTCTATTGTGAAATCACAAAAGAAAGCTATTATTAATTCTTCTGAAAATGAGGAATTTATTTCAGAATTGTGGACATACTGAATAAAATATTATTTTTTAATTATACGGAGACAATTTTATTGAAAGTGGAATGCAGAAAAAAATGGCGACACTAAAAGAAGTAGCCGTGACAGCAACAGGTCCATACAAAAGAAATGAAATTTGAGTTATTTCATGTGATATTGATATACCAGACGCTCTCTTCAACTGACAAATGTTAATCATATGAATATTACAGAAAAAGATATTAAAGTAATGGGAATTCAGAAGTGAAGCAATTATGTCATCATCAAAGATGTATGAAACATTTCTTAAGTGTAGTAGAACATTTTTTTCCCCCATATTAGTCTTCCCAGATAAACAGTTTATGAGATCATAAAAGAAATACTAAAACTAGTTACACTTACACTATACTATAAACTGCCGTTACGGAAAAATACTCACACGCATTCAGTGAATTGTCATTAGAAACAAAATCTCCAGAAGGTAAACGATAAAAATATGTTAGAAAGTTATTGAATCGTCATGAAAGTTAAAAAACTGCGAACATAACATGAACGGCTGCTAATGCTTTTAAGGCAGTAAAACGTAATTAATGGAAGGAGTCGTTACACACTCAAAATTGCATTCAAAACTTCAAAAATATATGACAACTACAGTGGTTGCATTTTAAGATCATTTTCCCCTCCTGGTTTGCTCAAAAAGCATAGCAATGATTGCTACAGAAGACAATCGAATCCTCTAATTTCCTCATCAGATTTATGGTGCACAGCGCGGCATGAAACCCAAAAATTCGACCTTAATTCCTAGACATCTTAGAAACTTTATTGAATGGTATTTTTATAAAAATTAACATAAATTAAATTATAACAGAATTACTAAATTAATTCAAATAACAAAAATGACATAAATTAAGTTTCTGTGCAGTGAATGATAAGCACAAAGCAGAAGTTTATCCAGGTAAAAATTACTCACTATCATTTTTATCACTAACGTCACTGTAGTTCTGGCTTTTAATTTTGATTAATATTTTATTTCGTATGTAATTTATTTATTATTAATTATTTTTGTTACGTAATTTATTTAATTATTATTATGTTATAGCTTAAGTTTATATTATTTTTAATAACAATTCCATTAATTCAAGTTTCCAAGCGTTCAAGAATTACGACCTAGTTCTAGAATCTTTAGTTTCATTCCGCGCAGTCAACCTTGAATAGGGGATTGAGAGATTTAAAAAAATTTGAGAACTTGACTATCTTCTAAAAACATACGTAATAGCATATCTAAAGCTTCTTTCGACAAATTTTCGAATTCTATTCTAGGTAGTTTCATTCTCTAAATTATAAAGAGATTAAATAACAACAAGATAAAAATATCTTCATTGCATAGTTCTCAACCACATTTTCTTCAGTTGCAATAGCAATAATTTTTGAAATCTTCAATTCGCGATTGAGCCTCTTTTGGTAATTGCCTAGTCGGCAACAAGGCAGAGGATATTACTTCAGATCCTTTAAGAAAAAATTGTATGCCGTGAGTATAGTATGTATACTTTTAGGCATGTACAGTGGACTTTTCCACATAATACTTAGCGGTGCTATACGCTTAATTTCTGAAATTATCAATATTAAAATGAGTGATCGCTTGACGCAACTATAAAAATGTTGTGCATTATTTTAATGACAGCTACTTTTGTGATACCGAAAACAGGTCATGATTAACCGAATATATATATTTTACCAACACCTGGCTTATTTTTTTTTAATTTTATTTATTTATTTATTTATTTATTTTTTAACAATTAATCCACATTTTTCAGTACATAGTTGAGTAGCAGGCATTCGAAGAAACATCCAGAGTGCAAGTTTTTACTCTGCCTTCTGTCAATCGAAAACAAGAAAAAGATGTTTCATTTTTGCCACCCAAAATATAACACAGATGCATAGATAATGTATCAGAGAGAGATTTACATACTTCACAAGCAATCACTGAAAAAATTAAATTATGGCTGACTGAACTTGTACTGCCACTGTATATCAAAACACTGCTCTCTGCAGATGTTCGATTTTTTTTCGCAGCTCGTTTCCGTAGTTACGAGATCAATCGGGTAGCGGAAAATAATCCAGGAGTTTCTATTTTAAAGTAACAGGCTATATAACATAATTAAGTCTTGTTTACTTATGGTGTTTGCAAACGTCCTTAGCCGGCCTTTATTTTCTCAAAAGTTGATCGGAGACATACACTTCCAATTATAAAAATGTTTTAAAAGACAAAAATAACTATGTTTTAGCACTTTTAAATTTAAGAAGATTAATTTTACTAAAACTAGTAACATAAAACTAAATTTTTAATTAATCCACCGTTTCGATTGCTTACATTTAGGATTGGATTATTCAATTATGGCAAAGCACACGAGGCTATCTGCCTAAAGGGAGGGATGCCTTTGTAGATGACTTTCTAAGGGAACTGGCTCGTATACACGTTGCACATGGGGAAAACCACGAAAACGCCCAGGCAGCCAGCCCGTTCGCGGGATTCGAACCTCGAACCGAACTAACAGTGTTTAGCGTCTTTACTGCTCGGCCGCTATTGGGCTTGCTTACATTTAGAAAAATGTTATACTCATTATCGAAAATAAAACGCAAAAGTTTGACTCTCACGCATTAAAAATTCATTAAGGTATTCCGAGGGTGACTGTACTTCAGGAGAAAGCCTTTTCTGTCAAATCGGATTACTTAAGCAAACCCTGTCACTTTCATTGAATCGATGGCCCTGTAGTTCTTGTGTTGTATCGGGTCTTCAAATTCTCAGTCGCCAAAAGTTAACACACTCTCATGCAAAACTGTATAACACTTCAAACCGTACCTGGTTTATTGTGAATGTACTCCTCAGGCAATGACGTCATATTCGAAGGGCCACCAAACACCAGATCACAAGGCAGACAAAGACACGACCGAAGATCATCTGGGATGGGGAACAGCCGTCAGTGTTGTGCTCAGTACTGCGATAGGCCAGTAAGAACAGAGCTAACTTCTGGTCCCAGTCCATGTCGGTTTCTGGAGACCACCAGCTAGAGGTTATTGGGGATGGTTCGGTTAAATCTCTCTACTGCCATCTGATTGTAGATGTAAAGGTGTCGTTTGGGTTTTGTCTACGCCGAGTAGTTTACAGAGTTCTTTAATTAGAGCCGTGATAAAATTTCTTACTTAGAAACCTTTTCATAAACTGATATTTTTATTTTTTGTTAAGTACATTTCTTTTTTCCTTTTGTACACGGCCCTGAACATAATCTTCAACTTTAAAATGAAATATCTTTTTTTTTTTTTTTTTTTTTTTTTTTTTTTTCCCCAAACGGAAGACACACTTTTTGTATTTATTTATTTATTTATTTATTTTGTAATGAGCACTTTTTTAATAAGCTCCGGAGGGTATACAAAAAAGTTTAATTTCATAAACTGATTTTTTTTAATTTAAAAATGCCCAAACATGAATACTTGCATCATTTAAAATATTTTTGCAACAGGAAATATCTGTCAATAATTGCAAAAATAAAGATCGAGCATGAACCTTTCATAATAGGGTGTATATAAATACCAAATTCTTTACAAGTCGCCAGTTTATGATGGAATTTTATGTTACGGCAATTTCTCCCACTTTGACCGTTTGACTTTGTTACAGCGACAATTTACTTTTAATCTATGATTTTACACTCAGCATATTGCATTTCTGAGAATTAAAAAAAATTAACAATTTTAGTCGTGAATTCTTATTTGAGGTGTCAGATTGTAATATGAAGTTTTTAAATTGCAACTTTATTTTAATTCAATTTAAAATACATTTCTGCATGAGACTTGCATTTTTGTTCTATTCGATATGGATATACTTCCACTGAATTTGATGTCATGCTTCCCTGTTTGGTAACCTTTAACCTAAAAAGTAGCATGTTTGCTTCTGTTTTACTTCTGTGCAATAATTTCTTTTAACTTTAATTCAAAGACATGAGACACATTAATATTTAAGATATTTGGCAACATAAAGCTTAAGGGTGGAAACTGTATGGATTCACAATAGCATTAGCGGCTAATACATTCAGTTAAATCTCCATGTCCTTAAGGATGACAAAGTCAATAGAAAACTATCTATTGATTTTAATTATCATTAGAATTCGATAAGCGGAAGAATTTTTTTTTTTTTTTTTTTTTTTTTTTTTTTTTTTTTTTTTTTTTTTAATTACTAAAACGAGAAGTTGATTTGGATATGTCTCTAGTATGCTAATATTCACTTGGATGTAAATATATTGCTTGGGGGGAAAAAAAGTTCATATAGTGTTACTAAAAGATCATTTAGCTACGGTAGACTTACTAAAAGAATAAAATTGGAAAAGGGCAGAAGCAACATGTCATTTTATACGATAAAATTATTTCGCATAAAATATAATAAAAGTATTAAAAAGACTGTGAAGAAGGGAGGCGACAAAGAACACGAAAACATTTTGTAAAATTTCTTTTTACATATCTTGTAACCCTGGTCAGAAGAACACTACAATTTTATACACAATAACGATGCAAGTAGCATCAAGTTTGAGGAAGACAAATAATGTAAAATGCTACTGATACACTAGACCAAATTCGGTTCACGCAAAGAAACTCCAGTATTTTACCTCTATATATTTCAGTCCCAAAAGGGCGGAGAACACATCGGGGCACACAAAAGCGCATCCAGCGATGGAGGTAACCGTCACGTGACTAGGCGCAGGAAGAGGAGATGCATCCAGTGATCGAAGAAGCCTCTAAACCAGAATAAAGAACCTGAAAAGGAAACAAAACGCACGCATTAGTTTGACATATATTGAAGCAAGCAATACTGGATTAAATGCAAATGCTCAATATATTATTAAAGAATACTACGAAGAAATCAGATGTTCAGTTTGGGGATAACACTGAAAAATTACAGAATTCCTACATAGTTCGTTCTCAGGAAAGTAGGGGAAAAAATGTGGCAGCTGTGAAGCAATGCAGATCTTAATCTTCATCATACATATAGCTTGATCTTGCATTATTAAGTTTCTACATAAAAAATATTTAAAATTCAATCTGAACGATTTTGATGAAATATGGCAAAAACAGAACTTGCATTATTAAGTTTCCGCATAGAAATATTTGAAATTCGATCACGCAATCAACAGCTTAGACCAGAATATCTACCATAATTTCTTCAACGTCCTTAAAAACATCTCTGGTGTTGAGTTGCACACTAAAAATTGTGACCACACATATTTTACAGTGTCTCTAGAAAGCCTTTCACACATGCTCCATTCTCGATTTCTGTTAACGCGCGGATTATCGTCTAACAGCATTTAATTTTCTACTGCACTAGGTATTCATAAAGTTCCTGTTTCTATACTTCAGAAGATTAACATTCCAATCTGCCAATATACAATGGGCATGCGTCCACTTTAAAAAAAATAATAACAATAATAAATGGCACACTCACACACAATAACTCGTTCGACGGGCGTACAAAGAATGAGAGTACGCACTTTGTTTCGCAGCAGAGAAAACCTGAAACAGCTGGTAAATAATACCTAGACTTTAGTAACTTATGGACATGCAATTATCTTCATTTAAGATCATGGTTTGTTTATATAAATACTTTAAATTTTCAGGCTTTTGACGTAATGTGCACCGTGCATAAATTACAAGCCACTCAACCTACAGACCTCTTGCCAGAAGACTTCCACGCAGGACAGAAACTAACAATATTCAAGACAGAATCGTAGTTAAAGAGTAGTTAACATATCCTGCAGTATGTTCTGCAAGACTGGCATAAACAGCAGATACCAATCCTTAATTCTTTAAGCATTCCTAAGCTCAACGGGAAGCTTAGAAAACCGTTTCATGGTCTTCTTTCAGCCTGGAAATGGAAATCCACAGCAAATCGTTTGATAAATGATGTCCATATTTGCCTCTTATAATAAAATAATTATTTCGAATACCTTTGTTAATACTAAAGAGATCACGAAACAGCAGCTTATGCTGAAACGGTTGTTTGATACTGTTATCCACTTACGAACATTAAATCTATACATATGAATTTTCATATGTTATCCTCAATCAACAATGTTTTACAAGTTATATGACAAGAAAAGATGAAAATGTCACGATATTTAAGGTTCTCATGAAATTTCTCATCTCGAACAATTTATGAATACTAGAACATAACAGCAGTCGCCGCTGCAATACCATTACTTCGTATCGCCGGAAGGTGCATCAGCGGTCAAATAAGAGTGTTACAGAATGAAAACCGACTCTTAAATTTCCTGTGTTTCAAAATACTGCCACATTCCGCGGCTAATTAATTGTTCCTATCACAAGAAAATAAGAAACAAGTTAAGCAATACGGACCGTAGTCTCAAACTGGCGGCGCGCGAAGGCATTTCAATTATGCACACTATTAGACAAAAAAAAAAAAAAAAAAAAAAAAAAAAAAAAAAAAAAACCACCACGACGCATCGAGAAGATATAAAGCAAATTGGACACAAATTGATATGCATACAGGTTTCGACGGAAAATGCAAAATTTTACATTTTGGCTGCCAATGAATGAACGGTTGTCGATACAGCGCATCTGGATTTGCGCAACTAACAGGATATTTAAGAAGAGAAATTACGATTCCAGGTCATAAATTCTTCACGAATTTCATTCTGTGTACTCTAGTAGACAGTAACTATGCCTCGCATACAGGTGCGCGAACGATATGCGCAGATGTCAGAATTTGAGAGAGGTCGTGTAGTTGGCCTCAAAGAAGCCGGTCGGTCTTATCGGCGAATAACTCGCCATTTGAGCAGGAGCGATGCCACTATTAGATAATGTTGGCAAGAATGGGTGAACCATGCCCACACACATCGTCAAGAAGGAAGCGGTAGGCCTAGAGAAACGACAGAACGAGAAGACCGAGAAATCGTCAGAGCGGCACTCACAACCCCAGATGCATCATCGATTTTACGTGCAACTAGTGCTTCAGTGACCTCAAAGAACATTCATAGACGGCTCACAGAAAGGGGGCTGAGGTCACGGTGAAGAATAATGCGCTGACTACCATTGACCTCTGCACAACGACAAGCCCGTTTCCAGTGGTGTCGGGCTCATTCGCACTGGAATGTCACTGACTGGAGTAGAATAGTTTTCAGTGATGAGTCTCGCTTTGAACTGAGCCCCGATGACCAGCAAAGGCGAGTCTGGAGACGCCCCGGACACCGGTGTGATACCAACCTGATTGTCTTCCGGCAGACAGGCGGACAACCAGGAGTGATGGTCTGGGATGCCATTTCATTTCATAGTAGGACCCCTTTGGTTGTCATCCGTCGCAACCTTACAGCACAGCGGTACGTCGACGAAGTTCTAAGGCCCGTTGTGTTGCCTTTCATGTCACGCCACCCTGGGCTTACATTTCAGCAAGATAATGCCCGCCCCGACACTGCACATGTTTCTACTGCTTGCCTTAGTACTTGCCGAACATTACCTTAGCCAGCAAGGTCGCCGGATCTCTCTCCTATTGAGCACGTTTGGAGCATTATGGGCAGGGCCCTCCAACCAGCTCGGGATGTTGACGATCTAAGGCGCCAGTTGGACAGAATTTGGCACGATATTCCTCAGGAGGGCATCCGCAACCTCTATCAATCTATGCCAAGCCGAATAACTGCTTGCATAAGGGCCAGAGGTGGACAAACGCGTTACTGACTTTTTCACTTTGTGAAGCTCTATCACTTCAATAAATCTTCAAATTTTTCTCAAACTGTCTTCATTTGTTTTTCTGTAAATGTACATTGCTTCTATCGATTTTCGTCCCTTCTGACAACTCCTTCTTGGTGCATCTTTTTTTTTTTTTTTTTTTCTTTTTTTTCTTTTTTGTGTGGGGGGGGTCGCCTAAGAGTGTGTCTGTCGCAAAAACGGTAATGCATAGATTTCAAGATGCTTATTTATTTGAAGTTCAAGTTTATATTATTTTTCGTTAGCACTAAAAACTTTCGTTACCACCTATTAATGGAGCTAATTAATTTACAACGTAAAATAAATCTTATTCGAAAATGAAGATTTACTAATTTTTGTACTAATCGCTTTGTTCGGGAATGCGCACCAGGGAATGCATTTATTCCTGAATAGCTTTTCTCCACAATTGAACATTGGTAAGAAAATAATCCGATTGACCAAGAAGAATTACTTTGCTAAATCGAAACGCCATCAGTTGTCAAGCTAGAATAAAAGAAGTTCATAATTATTTTGATTTATGCGTCGAAAAAAATAAGAGAAAGAGACTAATTGAGCATGTTAGAATTATTTGAAAGAAATATTTATCTAATAATTTAATTTTTAGTTGTCAGTATACTTAAATTACAAAGCGTAATCAGCAAAAATGTCTTGTGGATATTAAACTTTAAATTTCCCATAGAAAACACATCTAAATCTGAGAGTTTCAATTATTATGTTATTATTATTGTTTATTATATTTTGAAATTTGTTTAGTTAGTGAAATTTAAAATACTTTTTATTCTGTTAATAAAGCATTTCATAATGGAAAAAAAAAAAAAAAAAAAAAAAAAAAAAAAAAAAAAATAGAGAGAAAGAAAGAAAAAAGAAAAAAAAATTCTGGCCCGTCAGTTGTCTTCAGACCGTACATGTGACCCGCATGCAATTTGAGTTTGAGATAACTGCAATATGACATTTCCACACTTATCAACGTCAAATTTTGTTTTCATTCTTACTTTCTTATTAGTAAAATATATATTGAGACATGAAATTCTGTCTAACAGACGGTAACATTAAGTAAAAACCCACACACGTATACAAAGAAACATTAAAACCCAAACAAAACAAAAAAAGGGGGGAAGAAAAGGCACTTTTTCTTCAGGAGGATATTCAGCATGAATTACTGATGATATATACATTCAGAAAACGTTAAATAAATGAATAATAGCAAAAATACGGAACATATGACGAAAGTTAAGATGATTGGGAGGGGAAAAAAAGCGTCTTATTATTTTCTAAGCACACTGCGCTAAAACTACGCCAGAATCTTAAAAACGTAAGGAATGGGCACGTAAGAAAGCCACTAAAAAAATCATATATATGGAATGGCTACTGTATAAAAGAAGAACTACTCAGAACTCAGAAAAACATGCTGATGTCGTATTAGCATTAGTAGGTACTAATGCTAATATCAAATAAACTAATCGAATGTGAGCTAGTGTTTTCATACTGAATCCCATCAAATTAATATTCCTTTCCATTATGTTTTTCGCCATGAACAAATGCTTTATATATACAAAAGCAGCTTTGACTACTCCCAGTTACCTCAGCACCACCTCTAGCCGCAATATAAAAAGCAATTTGTTGAAAACCGCTGATACAATTACAACAATCATCGTCATAATGTTCTGCAGCAGTTTACAGAAAAACTGCATAGACAGATTTTTTTTAGATTAAGAATTTTTACATTTTACATTTTATTTATTTTAAAATTTAAATTGCTTAAGTAATTCTGATTCATTCATGCATTTCTGAATCAAAAGAAAGGTGAACAATAGATGTGGTAAGAACAATATAAACATTTAATAAGAACAGCTGATATGGATGATTTTTATAATTAAGATCAGGAATTTCTTGATTTATGAATGGAAAATAATGATTAAAAGCTCTGTAATATGATCAAAGGTAAATTTACACGGAATTTACACGGAAAGGAGGAAAGCTAAAATTGAGTACAGCCCAGCCCAAGTTGCAAATGAATAACAGAAGAAAGAACTCAAATA